GAAAAAAAAGTTTTGAAATGAGCTACAGTAGTGTTGACCGAAGTACGTCTTTCATATACTGGTTTTTAATTAATTAATTTTAATTATTTCAATTTAAACTAGTCCGGGCTTATATCCGGGAGGGAGCTTATAATGGGAAGTAATATTTTGTTCATAGGTAGATGGACCTATAACTGGGAGGGCTTATAAGCCGCAACGGCAGGTTTTTCCGCACTATGAATGAACAGGAGCGAGCGAACTACGACAACACTGGAGGAGAAATTAGACGCAAACAGGGCGCTCAATAGTGCAGTCCCTGAACTCTCCATTTTCCGAGTAATATAACGGGAGAGGAGAGAGTCCAGGGAGGGGCATTCTCGTCCCCAGAGGCCGCGCTCCTTTTGGTCATCACCAAGAATCGCGACCTCTGGGAAGGCCCAATTTTCTGAGCATGTTTTGTATTCTCAGCCAATCAGATTTGTCAGACTTGACTATGAGCATGCGTAGAGTGACGGGAAGGAGCGCGGCCTAAAAGGTACCGAAAAAAGCTCTCGCTGTGGACCCCCCTAAGAGGTACCAAAGCCGCTTCCTCCCCCCCCCCCAGGAAATGATCCCCCTATGGAGACGGCCTGAATGGTTAAGATAAACTTGGCATTGTATTAGAAACCAATAAACTGCAGGGGACCGCATACGAAAAACGCTGAGTAAGGACGAAACAGCTGTTGCGATCCTTGTCATGTTGGTGCCTCGAAACGTCTTTCACGTAATAATCGCTGGTTTTAATGTGACGTCATCATTTTCCAAAATTAAAAATTACCAATTCTTCTGAAGTTTTAGTTTCATCAGATATAAGAGCCCCTAATAACTTGACGTTTTACAATGTTTGAGCTCGAAAGGGATCTTCGTTTTGTAATAGATGACGTTTAAATTTCCGAGTTTATGGGTTGCGTGACATTAAAAATGGCGGCTCGGAAGGGCACCAACATGGCGTCTCCATACACAGCTTTATAAATTTGATTTTAAGGAAAACGACCAATTTTTTAAGTTTACAAGACATGTTTCGACAAAAATTCTGTCATCTTCAGTTGAATGATTACAAAGCAAGTTGAATAATAAGTAGACAAAAATGCTAATTAA